GTGGCTATTCAGGGCTTCCCTGACATACCATCGTGGCGCATTGTCTGAGCTCCACGTATCCATTCATCATCCATATCACGACCACAACATTTCAGAGGCGCCTACAGAGGCAGAGGCAGTGAACGCTTTGTCCGACAAAAGTATGAAGCATACTCACTAAGACTAGCGTTGCGGCCAAGGTAAGGCCCTGTCAAACTTTTATCCTAGGACCATAGCAGCGCGGCAAATCTACTTGACGCACTCAAAATCTACCCATAGTGTCAAAAAATGTGGGCCAGGTTATGAAATTAAGGCTAAGGAGGAACACGCTGCCTACGTTGGGATGTTGGAGACATAAGGGCATCTCCAATATAGAGACGGGGCTAGCTCTAAACTAGAACTCACATCAATTGGGCATCATCTAACATCTTGCCCATAATGTTTAGAAATAGATGCTGCTCCAGTCTATGACCCACACACTGAACAATATAACGAAGGTGGCCGGAGAAAGTGAGAAAAAACATAATTTTGTCCCTTAAACATGGGTGTTCCACGAATGCAGGCTCATGGGTATTTTTTTAGTTTTTTAATCGATTAAGCGAGGTGGGCGTTCTAAGTCGCCCACCTCGGTTAATCTATTATCCAAGGCGGGCAAAGCAACCGCCTCCGTTGTTCTCCACTAACAGAGGCCTTTAATTGGAGGCGGTTGCAATGCCCGCCTCCATTAATCTGTTTTGCCCGCCTCCATTAAACTCCGTGTAGTAGTGGAACCTAATTATATGTGGGTTTAACCTGACAACGTAAACGAGCCAGTCATATAGCCACATTAAATATATAGGAAATTAGGAATAACTAAGGACTTGTTCGGTTAAGGTAGAACGACTCCATGATCGATTCCGGCTGATGAAAGCTTGTATAAATTAAGTAACAATTCCGGCCAGAATTTCTTCGAGGGGGTCGTTCTAGGGAAAGCGAACGGGGCCGAAGGAATATCCATTACAGAAGCCCTTAGGCTGTCCATGGCTACGTGTAGTGTGTGTGTGTGTTTTGACTGAAACCCAACAAGCCTGTTAGCCTTTGTACGAGGAAAATCAGGAAAAGCATACACATACATGCACACACCGATGCATGAACTTGTACAGTACAGCCTACCGATGTCAGCCACTGCCACTCACGTACGTCAGCAGCTAGACAACTCAAGTCGCACGAGGTTTTCGTGCACGCGTGGCGTGGGCCACCGGCCGGAGCCCACATTGCATGCTTCTTGTGGACCAATGCAATTACGGAACTTTGGGCATCATTTGCTGTTCATGGGGACCCGGTGCTGCCGTGTAGTGGGGTACGATCCATGTGCTTCACTGCAAGTGACCCTACCACCCTCTCGCTAGCTTGTCGATTGGCCCGTCTCCAACCCTAGCACTGGAGCAGCCAGTGATGAATTCGAGCCATTGTGATGGGCGATGGCACGATCCAGGGCCCTCGCCCTGCTCCGACGTCGGTGTACCCTGAGGTATTCCTTGCTATTGTGTTCAGCAAGAAGCTTAAAAACATACAATTTCATAGATGACGCCTAGAACTTCACGAGCGTTAGGTCCGCTATTGTTGATGGGAAAAATCTTTCTGGTCTTTGCTTATTTTGAAACATCATAACTTGAATTATTAAAACTATTCAATAGCAGTCTGGAAACAACACACAAACAAAAAATGCAAGCAGTGAGCACATATGACCCTATTGCTAAATCTCCATCCATTGTTGACAAAAAAAATTGCATCCCCGCCATGGTCTCTCCATGGACTAACTTTCTTCTTGAAATTCGCTATAGCAACGGCCATGGACAGAAATTATCCCTCATGTGCATGTATGAATTAGAATGTTTTTTTGAACATAAACATAATTCATCCTCTTTGAAGGTTATTTAATTTACTTAGTTATACATTGGCTTTTACATGGGCTGTCCTATAGAAGTCAGCGGTATAGGATTTGGTTGCAAAGACATCTCGATGGTTGGTGCAGGTGGCCAAGGAGTTGTTTACCCAGACACATGGGTTGAGTGTTCTTACTGTGCCTGAACAAGCTTTTTAAAATCTTTTTGTAAAGTTGTGTGTATTTTGGTTATGCAGATGACTAGAGTGTTTCAATGTCTGTGTCAACTTAGATGTAACGATTTTGAAATTTATAAAGATTGTATTATCAAAAGAATGATTTAGAAGGTGAATTATCCATGGCTACTTTATTTCTACTACTAAGCCACATTTGCTAACAAAGAGCAAAAGCTCCCATTAACATCATCTTTCTAGTCTATTTCCTACTCCATAGTTAAACCCAACTCCCAGACATGTGGTTATCACTAATTCGATGATTTATTAGACTACATGGTATATGCACCACCCTCCAAATGAACTAAACGAAGTGACAATAAAAATATAGATGTTAAATGGTTTTCATATCATTATTTAAAAGCAACATTTTTTACTTCCATTATTCCAATTTTTTTGAATATTATCCTTTGCTAGTATTACCTATTTACCTATGCATTTATTTCTCAGCTCAAGCCTAAAAAGCTCAGTTCTTTTTAGCCTAAAAATTGATGCTCGTACTGTGTTCACCTATACCACATGATGATTTTGATTTTTAATGGTACATTCCTTTTACATATTCTCTCAATCCTGATTCCTGAGAGTACCTTGTGTTGAGAAGTTCTTTAAACATAGAATTAACTGGAAAAAAGATCAATTAGGACATAGAGTCTACCTAAAAACATCTCCACACTCACGTTAAGCTTCCATTTGCTATCCGTGCTATCAGGTGATGCCAACCAACCAACTTCTTTCCTACTAATTGTGTATGAAACGAGACGCTAAGAGCATCTCCAAGAGAGTAGGTAAATCATTTTGTAAATGTAAATATGGCTATTATTAGCAAAAAGTTGTCTCTCCATCTCATTATCTAAATATAGCCGCGAGCTATTCCATGTTTTTCACTCGGCATACAAAGCGAGCGAAGCTCGCTCGCCATGTCCGCGTGAATCGCGGCGGCTAGGTCATGTCATGACATGTAGCGCTTCGAACGGCTTGAGGGCGCAACCAGCCTCATGTGAGGCGGGATGGATGGCAGAAGATAGAGAGGCTGATGTGGTGCTCTAGTATTTGGAGAACTATTTTTATTTAGAGAGCCTCTAAGTCTTGGTTTTTAGACATTCTTTTACATAGTCTCTTGGAGATGCTCTAATTTGCATCTGTATGCTACTCACAACACTAACAACGAACCGATGAACTTCTTTTCCTAACCAGAATTAAGTTGGGCAATGTAAAGTGAGTATTGTGTTCCTAGCCACTCACTACTGGAAAACTGTACTTTGCCGAGTGCCTGAGACTTTGCCGAGTGCTTTTTATCGGGGCACTCGGCAAAATAAAGCACTCGGCAAACATGGCTTTGCCGAGCGCCATGCCCTCGGCAAAGCCTGGCTCTCGGCAAATCTAGGCTTTGCCGAGTGCCGAGTGCCGGAGCCCACACTGCCTGCTTCTTGTGGACCAATGCAATTACGGAAATTTGGGCATCATTTGCTGTTCATGGGGACCCGGTGCTGCCGTGCAGTGGGCTACAATCCATGTGCTTCACTGCAAGTGACCCTACCACCCTCTCGCTAGCTTGTCGATTGGCCCGTCTCCAACCCTAGCACTGGAGCAGCCAGTGATGAATTCGAGCCATTGTGATGGGCAATGGCACGATCCAGGGCCCTCGCCCAGCTCCGACGTCGGTGTACTCTGATGTATTCCTTGCCATTATTGTGTTCAGCGAGAAGCTTAATAAAAGCATACGATTTCAAAGACGACGCCTAGAACTTCGCGAGCGTTAGGTCCGCTATTGTTGATGGGAAAAATCTTTCTGGTCTTTGCTTATTTTGAAACATCATAACTTGAATTATTAAAACTATTCAATAGCAGTCTGGAAACAACACACAAACAAAAAAATGCAAATCGTATACACCGTAACAGATTTTCATGAGATAAATTATTGAGCAGTGGGCACATATGACCCTATTGCTAAATCTCCATCCATTGTTGACAAAAATTTGCATCCCCGCCATGGTCTCTCCATGGACTAACTTTCTTCTTGATTGGTGCTTTATGATTCGTGCAATTTTGTAAAAGAGGACCACTGGAACGAAACTCTCTCCTTAATTATTAGTTGTCTGTTTATGAGATACGGTATATATGTATTCTATTTTATTATTGAACTTATTACTCAGCAGAAGGTTACACAATACTACAAATACTACTCCAAAAGAGATGTGTTGGAAAACAATTAAGCAATATAGCAACTAGTGGCATGTCCTGAAAAGAAGAGAAGTTTGTTAACCAAATTAATGCGCAGGTCGATAATACTAGTCTATATCACTGTATAAATTATAAAATGACCTTGTGTACAATATGCCTGGATCAGGAATATATATAAATAGACTGCCGTGCGAACAAAGCACAACACCTGCATGGAACACGAAATTCAGAAGAGGAACACAAGAACAATGCTGAAAGCATCCTCACTAGGAGCATATATATAAACTGTGATTTACCGTACGTATTCTATAGGCAAGTTCTTCGATTTAGTTTAGATGGAAACTAAATCCAAAACTTTCCAAGAAATACTTTTATTAACACACGACAAATTAAACAACCCTTGGATCTTGAACAAATCCTTCAATGAGCTAACTTTCCTACAAATCCAATGCGCAATAGCATCAGCACACAATCTAATTAACCCCTCTCCTTGAAACAAGCATAAATTGTTGGGGTAGCAATTTTTTTTTTGGGCGGTGCAACACCGCCTAAAATATAAGCACCATGCACTATGCATGTGCATAAAAACATGAAGAAAGAAGAGAGAAGCATGACGATGACATGCAGCCAGCTTGGATTGATGCAGAGTGTCTCAAGTCAAGCCAGCCGTGAAACGTGAGCTAGCACACAAGTGCTTTATTTGGCGACGGATGAGCGCAAACCTGCCGACCACGAGAGGCTAGCTAGCTGGTCCGCTGCAGCCTGTGGAGCAACGCGGCGCGAAGGGCGCGGTCGTCCCGCAGCGCGGCGGGCACTTCCACGACGGCGTCCTGCACGGTCATGCCGCCGACGAGGCACACGCACGCGTGCGACACGGTCAGGTCCAGCGACCGGAGCGCGAGCATGAGGCGCGCGGGGGCGTGGCGCGCCGCCGCGGTCGTCGTCAGGCGCAGCGCCGCCGCCTCTGTCCCGACCATCCGCACCTCCAGCTTCTTCTCTCCGAGGCTGCTGCTGCTGCTGAACGAGTGCGAGGGTGCCACCGTCGTGAGAGCGGCGGCGGCGGCCTTCTTCTTGGCATCGGCCTCGAGCTGCTCAACGCGTTGACGCAGCTGGGCGATGTAGGTGGTGGCGTCGGCGAGGACGGATGCCTTGTCCATCCGGGACACGGTGGGCACGGCGGCCCGGAGCTCGCAGAAGAGGCGGTTGAGCTTGTCCCGCCGCTGCCGCTCCGCCTCCACATGGCAGAGGGCGGGGCCGTTGATGTTGTTGCGGGACCCTGGTTTCCTGCCACGCCTCTTCAGCGCAGGTGCTGCCGGTTCGCCGGACAGGTGGTCGTTGCCCGGCGAGCGCGAGCCCTCGCCACCCCATGTGACTTTGACGCCATTTGGGGGCTCGTCCAGCCAGTCGTCGCCCCCCAGCCATCCCTCCAGGACATCACAGGGCACGAACTCGTGCTCCTGGTGGTGTCCGGCGTTGGAGAACGAGGCCGGGGAAGGACAGCTGCTGGAGGAGGCAGGGAAGACCAGTTCATCCATTGGACTGTGGCCCTGTACGTGCTGCAGCAGCTGCAGTGTATGCCTGTAAGGATATAAGTTTAGATCTGGTAGTGTCACGGTGCCGATGGAGAGGAACTTAGGGGAGCGCGGCCGTTCCAGCTCGTTTTTAAGGTGGCATCTCCAACTCCAACGACAGTACGGGGCCGTTTGGCCGGGATCCTACACGCTCCGACTCATTTTTAAGGGTAGAGTTAGGATTTAAACATGGAGATTGTTCAAAGACGACAACGATCATATGCGATGAAATATATACACGACAAGAATATAGATAACAACAAAGTAAAAAAAAAATTCCGATACAAATATATACATGACAAGATAGACACCACTAGAGTTTATTGGCACCGAGCAAGACCAAGCAATAAAAGCACTAATTAGAATAGTTAACTAACAAATTAGAGATTAACATGCTAACTAAGAATGCACTGTGGGGGCACCAAAATGTTGGGGGATGCCACCAGGCCCCCGAGCCCTTCCCTCCACCACGATTCACTCTTCCCTTCATAAATGATAAATCACCACATGGAGCATCCACAATCTAGTAACGCTCATAGTCGTCAACCACAGGACCATCTTTACATACCATCGCTTAGAGTTTGAACCATCAAATGCATTTACTTTAAGCCCTGCAGCAAAACCACTAAAAGAAAAAATGTCTAAAATTAGTTTTTTTTATTATTGGATATTTATTGCATTTTCATATTTAATTTAATCTAGAAAAATAGTAGCAAAGCATTCATGATGACATGTATGTGCACGGGTGATTCAGCTACTCGCAATAATAGCAAATATGCAAGGCATCATACTGATCAAAACAAAAATAGTACTAAAATTCACAAATTTAGTAAGTAGGGACACGGGTAGTGAAAGTGGCGGTGTCGAAGGGAGGGATGTGTGGTGGCACTCTGCAAAGCAAACATATGCGTTTGAGAGGGAACACAAAGTTCCAATTCAAACTAAATGGTTCTAATGAAAACATAGTTGAAGATTCAAACATGGTTCAAAAGCAAAGAAAAAATGTCAAAGGATATAAAATCTACATAGGTGATTGTGATGTCACACTACTACACAAATTCTTTTACACAACGTTTCACAATTGGGCTCTATTGACGGTCACTAAACATCAATTATAAACCGTTAACAGAACCTGTATTTATACTTAATTCCATCACCAAACATAGGTATATGGGTTTAAACTAATAAATTTCATGAGTTCTGGTGAATCTGTGTTTTCAGCAGGGTTTATCCAGAAAATCGTCAAGGGGATCAAGTCGTCAAAGGAAATTGTGGAATTTCGCCGCGTAATCGACATGGGAAGACTCTAAAAGACTCCAGAAGGCGAACCATCGAAGCAGAGCACGTGTCTATGACATGTGGGGCCGCCCGGCCCTAGCTCGAGGCCACTTGACCTGTGGGCCCCCCATGTCAGCCTTCTGTTGCTATATTGGTTCTCCACCGTCACTTAGGTTGCATCTATGTCGTTCTTTAAGTCGGTTTGATCCAGGGGCTCACGTTGGACGTTCCACCCTATATATACCAGCCCCTGCCACCCTCCATGGAGCCATCCTGAAACCGTAATTCATATTCTCCTCGTCAGTATCAGAGCCAGCTATCAAGAGAAGATTAGTCCTTTATAAGATCTAGTCTTATGAATAGAAATAGTGAGATAGAGAGTGAGAGAAGAGTTTGGAGGAGGTGTCGGTCTGTCGGTGCTCTCTTTACGGCTTGTACCTTGGCGGATCCAAGTTCTACTTGAGCTTGCCTTTAAGATATCTCTGGTAATCAACTTCTAATTCGACTAAGCATCTTGTTTATATTGTTCATCAGGATCATGACTCTTTTGAGTGCTTTATTCCGGTTCAAGTAATGCCATAGAAGAAGAGCTGAGTCATCTAGAAGCCATTCCTATCCTCTCCCCTTCTATGTCCACATTAGATCGCTCATCTGAACCCATCTTTCAACCCATCCTTGACCTCGAAGATCTCTCTTATGCTCTCTCTCCTCAGTGTCATGATGACCCTTGAAATCCGCTAAGACAATCAAAGTATAGGAATCAAGAAGGTCACAAGGATGACCAAAAAGAGCAACTACAATGGTTGGAATATATTAAGAACTTGTATGCCATTGCTAAAGAATGGATGGACAAGGACAAAGCTTCAAGAAAAATGGACCCTAGGCCCATTTACTTTGGATTTTAGTGTTTGATGACCAACACAACTAAATTGGAATAATAAATTTGCAAGTAATTGTTTTGTAGTTCAATAGGGTGCAAGATGTGACTTAGACGAAGGTGACTTGATGATCCTACGATCAACACCATAAGCAAGACCCTAAAAGCACAAGAGAAGACCCAAGATATCAAGCAAAGTCTAAGTTGATAAAATTTGACTTGAACGCATCCCATCACGTCCTTCTTTTTGGAACGGAGGGGTTAGGTAGGAGTAGTAGGGCTTTCTTGTTTCCCCCCTCCTTAGTCACTGTCACATTAAATATTTAAGATATACATAAAGTATTAAATATAGACTAATTATGAAACTAAATGTACAGATTGAGACTAATTTGCGAGACAAATTTTTAATCCTAATTAGTTCAAGATTTTACAATATGGTGCTACAGTAAACATGTGCTAATGACGGATTAATTAGGCTTAATAAATTTAACTCACAGATTAGTAAGGACTTGTGTAATTTGTTTTATTATTATTATTCGAACACTCTCCATGTGATATCCCATATGACATCCGATAACTGGTAGAGAACAGAGCTTTACTCCCGGTGGGGAACCCCCTCTAGTCCCGGTTCTCCACCCAGGAGTAAGCATCCGGGACTAAAGGGGGGTCCTTTAGTCCCGGTGGGTAATACCAACCGGGACTAAAGGTCCTCTCAGCTTTAAAAAAAATAATGCCTCCCACCGCTGCGTCTCGTGAGATTCGAACCCAAGACCCCATGCATTGGGATTGCCTCGCGCGTAGCTTACCACCCCACATACACAACACATATAACAATGGATGGGATGCTTTCCTTTTGAACTAACCCATCTGGGGACCTTTAGTCCGGGTTGGTGTTACCAACCGGGACTAAATGGTCTACTTTTAGTCCCGGTTGATGTTACCAACCGGGACTAAAGGTTGAGGACTTTTAGTCCCGGTTGCTGGCTCCAACCGGGAGTAAAGGTCCACCTTTAGTCCCGGTTGGTGTCTCCAACCGGGACTAAAGGTCCTCTACCACTGTGCCGAGCGCAGTAGCCGTTGGGCAAGGACCTTTAGTCCCGGTTGGAGACACCAACCGGGACTAAAGGTCTCTCGAGTCCCGGGCGCAAAAAATGCCGGGACTAGAATCTATTTTAGCATCGGATGAAAGGTCTGTTCTCTACTAGTGGATGTGACACCTCTGAACTTTAGCCCCTGAATTTAAATGCCCCTAGATAAAAAAAACACTCCGACATCCACATCCGTGAACAAACACAAAGGGCTTGCAGCTGATGCGACATGATATGCCAATTCACTTTCATCAATAATGTAAGGTGGTCCACATAGGTGATGAGGGAAACCATTTGTGAGTGGTTGGACATCTTGTAGGGCCAGTGTGTTAGATAATACTCCTTCCCTTAGACTAAACTACTAGGTAGCGTGTCCGTGCGTTGCTATGGGACAACTAAACTTTTATACTAAAAACACATGGATCACACAATAAGATAACAATAGTACAAATAGTACTCCAAAAGAGATGTGTTGGAAAACAATTAAGCAATATAGCAACTAGTGGCATGTCCTGAAAAGAAGAGAAGTTTGTTAACCAAATTAATGCGCAGGTCGATAATACTAATCTATATCACTGTATAAATTATAAAATGACCTTGTGTACAATATGCGTGGATCAGGAATATATATATAAATAGACTGCCGTGTGAACAAAACACAACACCTGCATGGAACACGAAATTCAGAAGAGGAACACAAGAACAATGCTGAAAGCATCCTCACTAGGAGCATATATATAATCTGTGATTTAAGCCACAGTCGAAGGTACCGTACGTATTCTACCGGCAAGTTCTTCGATTTAGTTTACATGGAAACTAAATCCAAAACTTTCCAAGAAATACGTTTATTAACACACGGCAAATTAAACAAACCCTTGGATCTTGAACAAATCCTTCAATGAGCTAACTTTCCTACAAATCCAATGCGCAATAGCATTAGCACACAATCTAATTAACCCCTCTCCTTGAAACAAGCATAAATTGTTGGGGTAGCAATTTTTTTTTGGGCGGTGCAACACCGCCTAAAATATAAGCACCATGCACTATGCATGTGCATAAAAACATGAAGAAAGAAGAGAGAAGCATGACGATGACATGCAGCCAGCTTGGATTGATGCAGAGTGTCTCAAGTCAAGCCAGCCGTGAAACGAGAGCTAGCACACAAGTGCTTTATTTGGCGACGGATCAGCGCAAACCTGCCGACCACGAGAGGCTAGCTAGCTGGTCCGCTGCAGCCTGTGGAGCAACGCGGCGCGAAGGGCGCGGTCGTCCCGCAGCGCGGCGGGCACTTCCACGACGGCGTCCTGCACGGTCATGCCGCCGACGAGGCACACGCACGCGTGCGACACGGTCAGGTCCAGCGACCGGAGCGCGAGCATGAGGCGCGCGGGGGCGTGGCGCGCCGCCGCGGTCGTCGTCAGGCGCAGAGCCGCCGCCTCTGTCCCGACCATCCGCACCTCCAGCTTCTCTCCGAGGCTGCTGCTGCTGCTGCTGAACGAGTGCGAGGGTGCCACCGTCGTGAGAGCGGCGGCGGCGGCCTTCTTCTTGGCATCGGCCTCGAGCTGCTCAACGCGTTGACGCAGCTGGGCGATGTAGGTGGTGGCGTCGGCGAGGACGGATGCCTTGTCCATCCGGGACACGGTGGGCACGGCGGCCCGGAGCTCGCAGAAGAGGCGGTTGAGCTTGTCCCGCCGCTGCCGCTCCGCCTCCACATGGCAGAG